CCCCTGCTTTATAATATACCTGTGCTCATGTGGGTTCCATTTCCATCACATACACAGAGAGAAAACATTGCACATACCAGTGTTTCTTTCTAACTTGTTTTGACATTTATTTTGAAAAGGTGGGAATCATGTGGACTTTCAAATGTTATCATACTGCTTGTGCCTTTAAGTCGTTTCCGATTTATGGTGATCCTAAGGCAAACTCATCACGGGGTTTTCTTGACAAGGTTCAGAGGGGGTTTGCCATTGCTTTCATCTGAGGCTGAGAGTGTGTGACTTGCACAAGGTCACCCATTGGGTTTACTTGGCTGAGTTTGGATTCAAAACCTGGTCTCCAGACTCATAGTTCAACTCTCAAACCATTATGCCACACTGGCTCTTGTTGAACTGCAGCTCCCAGTATTTCCTACTGTTAGCTAAGGCTTCTGGGACTTGCAGCCTTACAACATCTGGAAGGCCACGTGATTCCCACTCTTTAATTCAAATAAGTTTGCACCTCTTTCTGTCCTACTAAGTACAAAGCATAAAAACAAGTTCTGCACTAGAACACCTGGCCTCTGTGCTTCCAAAGAATGTGATTATGGGGTGGTATTGACAGACTGCAAACAAATGAAGTATTAGAAGAGACTGATAATAACATTAAAATGTTTGGGTAAATACCAAGCGGCTTTGCTTGGCATAAAAAATAGAGTGGTTTTGGCACCTGATACATTATGCTGCTTTTTTTAAAGGGAGAAATTCTTAACCCTTAGCATAGTGATGGGGAACAAATGGCCGTTCCTTGGCAAGGATGGGTAAGGCTAATGGGAGTTAGAGTCATTTGTAGGGCCACACGTTCCCTACTGTGCCTGAAAGCATACCTTCCTCGTGGCAACGTTTCCACTTCCTGTTCCCATCTCAATTTAAAATAAAAACAAATTTACATTTTATTTTTATATCTTAGGACAAACTGTGCAGACATTCTTAATAGGTCCAGTTAAGTCAAGAAGACTGAGGTTTCTTTATTGTTACCTATATGTTTTGCTCCATATATTTGCAGGCAGCAGGTAGAGATGATGATGATGATGATGATAAAGTTTAATTATCTTTCCACCAAAGGGTGGAACATCAAACATATATAATCAAAAACAGATGATAAAACACAGACAGTAAAAATACTAAATGCTAAAATAATATGCCAATATACTAAAGATGGGAACAGTTGTGACCAGGAAAATGGAGAGAGATTTGTTTTTTCTTTTTTGAAAAGACACCTGCTCATGGATTTCCCTATCATCTCATTCTGTCCTTGAGCTCACTTAACATGGGTTACTTGTGCCTTAGGTTAAAAGATAGTAATTTAAGGCCCTTGAGCTAAATCTGACTCCCAGACAGCTGGAATCTGACCGGCCGGCTGAAGGGAGGGTGTAGATTAGGTTCTGTACCCTCTCCAAAGTTCCTCCCTACAGATTCGGAAAGTGATCTGTGAGTGGATGGGATCTACATGCAAAAATCCTGGATGAGGCTTGGATCATGTTAAGCAATCCCAAGTTGTCTGCTCTTTCTTTGTAAATATAGTGAGCCCTTGGTATCCACTGGGGTTTGGTTCCAGGTGGATGTTCATCCCATTAAATTAAATGGCGTAGTAATGGTGTCTATTATGTAAAATGGCAAAATCAGAGTTTGCTTTTTGGATGCACACACACACACACACACACATAGTCAGCCCTCCACATCCATGGATTCTTTATCCACAGATTCAAGCATCCATTCCTTGACAATACTAAAAAATATATCTAAAAACAAACCTTGATTTTCCCAATTTATATAAGGGACATCATTTTAATACACCATTGTATTTAATGGAACTTGAGCATACACTGATTTTGGTATCCACAGCGGTCCTGGAACCAAACCCCAGCGGTTACCAAGGGTTTACTGTACATGGAATATTTTCAGGCTGTGAATGGTTGAATCCATGGATAAAGAATCCGTGGATACAGAGGGCCAACTGCATAAAGCATGCTTGTATCCTGTGAAGATTATATTGGAAGGAAGGAAATAAAGAAAGAGAATGAGATGGACAGAAAAATAAATAATGCAGTAGTAAAGTTAGCCTCCTTCTCTGCTGTGTATCTGAGATTTTTCCAAAATAATCCAACTGCGGCAAAGACAGTGGTTCTCTTATTTGACTGAAAGGTAGATCCTAGTGAGCCAACGTTGTGTAGTGGTTTGAGTGTTGGACTAGGAGTCTGGGAAACCTGGGTCAAACCCACTGGGTGACCTTGGGCAAGTGGAAAGCAATGGCAAACCGCCTCTGAACAAATCTTTCCAAGAAAATCCTGAGATAGGGTCACTATAAGTCAGAAATGAAAGCATTCAATGACAATTAGATCCTGGACAGCTCTGGATTGTGTGAATTCAATCACAGATGCAACACCCATCAGCAGGTGAAAGACATGATTACCTCTGTCACAAATGCCCACACTCACTGTGCGAATGTGAACAAGCCCTGGGAATCTGTTAGCAGATTGATGTTATTGTTTTGTGCCTGCAACTCATTTCCAACTTATGGTAACCCTAAGACAAACCTATAATGGAGTTTTCTTGGCAAGATTTGTTCAGAGGAGGTTTGCCATTGCCTTCCCCTGAGGCTGAGAGAGTGTGACTTGCTCAAGGTCACCCAGGAGGTTTCATGGCCAAGTGGGGTATCAAACCCTGGTCTCCAGAATCATAGTCCAACACTCAAGCCATGCTGGCTCTCATCAAATGAAGGGTCAAATCCTTTGGAGGTGGGTGGGTTGGGAGAGTGAAATGGGAGCAATACATGAGGTTGATACTTCAGAGGTTTCGTTGGACCTCTGCTGATTCATTATTACTGATGTAGATCACATTTTAAACCTTATCTTGCCCTCCAAAGTTTTGAATGAGCTTCATCTATTTTTCTCACTATGAGTTAGGGTTAGAGTGCAAGAGGTGGTGGCGCAAAGCCACACAGTCAGTTTTATGGCTCTGTAGGAATTTGAACCTGTATCTCAACACTCTTGGTTTTCAATATGCTACCACAAATTAGAGCCAGCATAGCGGAGTGGTTTGAGTGTTGGACTATGACTCGAGAGACCAGGGTTTGATTCCCCGCTCTGTCATGGAAACCCACTGGGTGACTTTGGGTGAGTCACTCTCTCAACCTCAGAAACCCCCGTGATATGGCAGCGCCTTAGGGTTGCCATAAATTGGAAAAGACTTGAAGGCACTCAACAACAAACCACACCAAGTGATCAGTTAGGAACTGGTAAACCCCAGTGACATACACTACAGGACAGAGGAAGTCTCATTTAATCTTCCCTCCATATATGAATTGATCAAGTAGTTTGAAGACTCAGAAAAGCACCTTCCTCCAAGGCAATGTACATTTTGTCCTCACAGTAACCATGTGTCACAGACTAGATGGAAAGACGGATAGCCAAAGAGATAGACCTAAAGTCATGCAGTTGGACTTCGTGGCAGCAAGGAGATTGAATCTGAATCTATTATTCAAATCCAGTGTTCACTAACTTCATATCTACCAGGGACCTTTTCACATCACACAATTATATCACTATATTCCACTTCACCTGCCATGGCAACATAGAATCTTGGATATGTGATTTGGTGAACTAGAGCTCTCTAGAGCACTATAGCTCTCTGGATGAGAATTCCAAATGCCCTTCCCTAAATTGCAAATCCCAAGATTCCATAGCATGTTGTCATGGCATAGAGTGCCACGTAGTTTTCAGAGGTTATACTGCCTAGCTGAGACCCAGTGTAGTGTACCAATTTGAGTGTTTTAAGTGTTGGACTTGGGACTCTGGGGAAGAGGGTTTGAATCCTGGCCCGGCCATGGAACCCACTGAATGACCTTGGGCAAGGCACAGTCTCTCAGCCTCAAAGGATGGCAATGGCAACGCCCCTCTGAAGAAATTTGCCAAGAAAATCCCATGATAGGGTTGCCTTAGGATCGCCATAAGTCGGAAACGACTTGAAGGCACACAACAACAACTGCCTCAGCTGCTGAGATTTTATGCACTGTCTTACTTATCTTGGCTAAGTGCTGTTAATCATCTGACCTACCCTTCATGAAATATGTTTAATTATTGTTGGGTTTTTAAAAAGCCCATTTTATTTGATTTAATTCCACCACATTCTTGAGAAATTGGATTAGATTCTTCCTGGGAGAAGCTTCAGCTATTGTCTTTTTTTGGAGGGTACTCCCTAATTTCAAGTATCATAAGAAAGAGATGACAGTCCTTTTAGGTTTACATATGTTCCAGACTGGATAACAAGTTGAGAAATATACTATATTTAGTGTGTTTTTATACCTCCCTCCTTCCCTCTTGCTCCATCCCAGGAATTCAGATTTGTGTACTTGAATAGTCAGGGACCCTTTCCCCTCCTCTAAAGGGCTATATTTCTTGAGAGTGTGTATGCTGGTGGGTGTGGGACCAAAGTTGGTGTTGGATGCAATACTTCCCCCATTTTCATTCTTATCTGAACTTGATGAGATACCTTAGAATTGACTGATCATGGTTGGCCCAAGTTCACCTTCATGAATTTTATGGCTAAACCTTGGCCTCTCTAACCAGAACCTGACAATGGACCAAAAGTGAAGAATTGGTGGCCATGTAGATGTATGCTAGGCCTTGTGGTGCTTGTGATTCAATAACAACTGGAGAGCAGTAAATTCCTCACTTCTCTATGCCAGGGATGAGGAATGAGTAACTTTCCAGCCATTCTCATTGTTGGATACACAACTTCAGTCAGTCCTCTCTTTCTGGGTATGGTTGATGGGAGTTGCAGCTCTATACCATCTGGTCCACATACCTTAAGACCTAAACTGCATATTGCTTATTGGCTTGTTTTAACATATTGCATCATGTATCTTAATTCTTCTTAGATCTTTCTACGATGCCGGTCACCCGCTCAAAATCAGCGGTCAACACTAGTGCCCTGACTTCTCAACTGGGTATTGTCCGCCTGTTGGAAGCAATTTTTACATGTGTTGCCTTCAGCTTGGTGGTCCACCGGAGTGCCTGGTATGGCCGTAATGGTGATTGGTGCATGTTCTCATGGTGCATTTGCTTTGCCATCACCATTGTCATCTTGGTGGTAGAAATTGTTGGCCTTCAGCACCGCATGCCGGTCTCCTGGAAGAACTTCCCAATCACTTTTGCCATGTATGCCACCTTGGTGTGCCTCTCCGCTTCCATCATCTACCCAGTAACCTTCATTCAGAACCAAAACCTTCACCGCGAAGAGCGAGGATACCGCATTGCTGCCACAGTGTTCTCCTGCCTTGCCTTTTTGGCATACTCCACAGAGGTTACCATAACCAAAGCCAAACCAGGAGAAGTCACTGGCTACATGGCTACCGTCCCCGGCCTGCTGAAGGTGGTGGAGACCTTCATTGCTTGCATCATCTTTGTCTTCATCAGTGATCCAGTTTCCTATGATAACCCAGAGGCTGTTCAGTGGTGCATGGCTGTCTACTGCATTTGCTTCATTCTCTCTCTGGTGGTCATCATCCTCTGCATTGGCGAATGCACTGGCTGGCTGCCCTGTGCATTCAACAAGTTTCTCAGTGGCTACACTCTTCTGGCTGTTCTCATGTATGCAACGGCCACCATCATCTGGCCCATCTACAAGTTTGACAGGAAGCATGGGGGAACTTCTTCCCGGCCAGGCTACTGTAGATCAACCTCGTTCTGCAACTGGGACAAGTTGGTTGCCATTGCTGTCCTGACAGCTGTCAATCTGCTGGTTTATCTTGCTGACTTGGTGTATTCTGCAAGGCTGATCTTCATCCAAGGATAGATGGTTGTCTGGTGGAGTCAAGAGTCAGGGCAGAGGAGGTCAAGAGAGAGGAAAGAAGAATACAGAGGGAGAAGAACAACAACAGATGGGGAAAGAAGTTGTATCATTTTTGCTGCTTTCCCCTTGTCTCGTTCTGTGCTCCTCTCTCTCTTCTTTGCTATGATCCTTCCCATTCTATGTTCTGCCTTTACCCTTTCTGTTTGTACATTCCTTTTTTTCCTGCCTTCTTTATAACCCTTGCATCTTTTCCATGTTCTCATGCTTCTAGCTTGTTGTGCACTCAGACTTTTCTCCTCCATCACACAGTAAAACTGCATGAATGCTCTTTCCCTGTGTGCCTTTGCGCCTTCATTCTTTTTTGGATGCTCGTGTGCCTTCCTATGTGTTTACTGACCCTGAAAATGGTGTAGATCTGAGAGATTTACACCATTGATCTGAGATCTGAGAGATTTATAATTTGGGATGGGATGGGGGTAGGAGAACAGAGTACAAGGATGTGCTTTTCAAATTGCCTGTAACTCTGGTGCATGTTCCAGATAATGCTATTCTTGAATGAAGGGGAACCTCGCAATATTTTATTTGCTACATCTCAGCAAATTCAAACATTTCCCAAATGCTCCTTACACATTTGTTGCTTATCTCACAGGCATTCTTTCTCTTTCATTGTACATAGGTTGCTTCACGATCCCTATTTTTCATCACCTTTAGCCCTTCATGATTCTTCTTTGTTGAGGCCCTGCATTCTTTATTATTTCTTAGTCACTTGGAGG